CTGTTGGTCATCCCTCCATTATAGTGCTATAGGTCGCAGACAGTGGTAAAGTAAAATTCCTAGAGCTTCACAGGACAACTGGCGCACAAGACAAAAGATGAAGGGAGGAGGGGGGGAAATATACAAATAAATAAAGGAATGGAAGAGGCACCGATGAAATGGAGCCAAGTGTGACGACTTGCTGTAAGAGAAGTCGAGTGAGTGTGTGTGTGTGCGCTCGCACGCGAGTGAGAGAAAAACTGATCGCACACAAATGCAATAGACGAAGCAACTCACCCTTGCAGCGAGACGTGCTAGCGAGAGGTGCTGCGACAAGGTGACATGAGGGAATAACATGTGGTCTAAAGACCAAAGGAGAGTAAATTAAAAACCACCTAGTGTAAAATCATCAATATGTAGCTGTATATCCCTCTTTCAGCAGAACATATGTACTATTACTTGGAGGATGTCCACTGGGAGAAGCTACTATTGTAGAGAATTCCAGAGCAGAAACAAATTTGAAATGAGAAAGACAGACATTTGTACAGACATTGTAGCAAAAGTGGAATTACACATTTTTCCTTTTCAAGATGAAGCTAAATTTGGCTCCACCTGATTTGAGTAAACCTCATACTACATACACTAGACTTGGATATTGTTTTCTGCACCTCTCTTGCTCATGTTCCTTTTTTTACTGAACGCTGCACCTGTCTGCATTCGTCTCAGGACTCAAGGTGAAAGATAAGGTTGCTCCGAGACATTTTAAAAGGTAGCCTAAAAATGACGATTCATCTCGCTGGCAGCATGTCTGAAGATGTTATAAAAGGTTTTCGGTGTTCCAAATGCTTCATTTGCATCATATACAGGTGCATCTTACCTTTAACGCTCTTCTATCTCTCTCTAGAACCTTCGTTTTTATTTGGGTGCCCTTTGAGTTGTGGTAAAATGATGGGAAATAATATACATCTGCAGTCACTGATGTGAGAAAGCACAAGTTTGATAGTGATCAAGTGACTTGGGATAGATAATTAGACGGGCTAAACCAACACGGGGAAGAAACCACAACAAACAGTCCACAGGGGTGTTACATTACTCCCCCCCCCTCCCGGAACGTGCATCCTCGCACCGTAGAAACAGAGGGAGGGGGGGGAGGGGGACAAGGCAGTGGATGTGAGATGGTGACAGGGGAAGGCAAAGGGCTGGCAGGCAGAGCAGACAGGTGGAAGTTTCGGGGGAGGACGGACTTCCAGGAGGGGGGGGGGGTGGGGGGAGGGGGGGGGGGGGGGGGGGGGGGGGGGGGTCCACCCATAAAATTTGGTCATGTGTCCTCAGGATTTAAGCGACAACCCCACATGTAATTACAGTAAAATTGTACAGCCAGTGCTCCAATTTTGTACTGTTGAAAGGGATACATCACCTTGTAATGTTTAACATTTCAACCTCATCAGAATGTCAGACCATCATGCATTCAAAACCATCAAAAAAATAAATAAATAAATAAAAAATAAAATAAAGACCACACAGCAATGACGGATCTCTATGTTGAGGACACATCAGTTGCAGATATATTGAACTGTAATTGCATCAGGAGGAAATGTTTATAAAGTAGGATTTTCTTCAGGCTGAAGCAATATAAGTGGCAGGAACACAAGCATTAGGCCCCAAATCCAGGCGCAATATTGCGAGAGACCCAGGGCGAGAGAAACATTGTAATTTCAATATTTGAAATTGGCAAGTTTAATTTGGAGTAAGAACAAGCCAATAAGCTGAGAAAATAGCAAATACAAGAGAGAAAATTACCTTGCAGGATGGAAAAAAAGTGAAAAGACTTCTGAAGCAATATAAGTGGCAGGAACACAAGCATTAGGCCCCGAATCCAGGCGCAATATTGCGAGAGACCCAGGGCGAGAGAAACATTGTAATTTCAATATTTGAAATTGGCAAGTTTAATTTGGAGTAAGAACAAGCCAATAAGCTGAGAAAATAGCAAATACAAGAGAGAATTACCTTGCAGGATGGAAAAAAAGTGAAAAGACTTAAGGAATGTATAAAAGTAATCTCCAAGTGGAAATTAGAAATCAACCCACAGAAAGGGGAATAACAGAAAAGAAATTACTGTCCACTCTCTAAATCAATATAAAATTGCTACAAGACCGAATTACCATGGTAACTCAAGTAAAGAATGAAGCAATTGCGTATTATTTCAAAATAAAAACTGGTGCCTGAAGCCCTGAGTTTTATTACAGCAGCAGACAGATCAGGGGTCTAGTATTCATTTGAAACATTGCATTTCAAAATACACACACTAGGAACGAACGGATTTCATTGGTTCACAGTTCTCGTAAATTAAACTGGGAACGGTAACTAAGAATTTATCATCAAGATGAAGAATAGAAGGGTGTTCTTTTCTCTTCTCCATGTTCTTAGGGAGCCCAGCGAAGTGAATGATCAATCCTAAACAAGTCCACAATGAGGACCCAATTATTTCTCCCAATCCAGATAGTTTTAAATACCTTGAAGGGAAAGAAAATGGCTGAATAGCATATTTCTCCAGAGAGAACTCAAAGTCAACCGAGAGCGTCTTTTATTTAAAAGGTAGTCATGAAAAGGAGTTGTGCTTGTTCTGTACCTTAACACAATTCCCCACTCTCTCAGAATCGTGGTAAGAAAGTACAAGAGCAAGTAACACCGTGTCTACACCAGATGCGAGCGGCACGGCAAAATACAATAGAACCTATTATGCCGTCTACACTGGATGCGGCGCGGCGCAACACGACAAATCCCCGACAGTAAACTGATGCCAAGTTCCATTTATGATGTACTGACAAATTTCAAATGATTTTCAACGGTCGCTTTGTCTCCAGTGTAGACAGACTTTAGCGGTTGCGGCGCGACACGACAACTGTAGACACGGTGTAATGTATGGTGTGGTTGCCTGAAAGCAGTACAGCAAGGATCAAATACAGTGCAAGGACCACTGATGACAAAGCCTGCAAACCTGAAAGGGTTGATAATTTGGGAAGCCTGTGTAATAGTAGTACAATAGCAAGGGCATGCAAAACTACGACAAGCCCTACATCGCTCTACTTTCAATCTCCAGTGCTTAGTACATCATAGCATAGTAAAGAGATATGAATGACCCAATATTTCACATAGAAAAACGTACATATTTTAAGACTACCTAATAGAGCTTCCTAGCAGCTCAGGGTGAATTTTAGGTCAGAAAACGGAAGCAAGCTTAGTGTGTAGTAAAAATAGTGAAAACTAGTTTGTATCCTACTTTCCTGAGGATTTTGGATAGTAGGTAACAGGATAATTCTTCTATTGCAGGATGCAGTTATTTCAGAGTTACAAGGAGACCATTTGAAAGTTCAGTTATGGAAACCAAATACAGCATCGACACTGGCATCTATAATTTTCTGAATCGTTACAAAACCGCATTATAAAACGATTTGCTTGAAGGACACAAAATGTATCAGCAAGTTTATAAGTACCGATGATCTATTCATGTTTGCATACACAGAGGTGTATGGATGATGGGAGCGAACATGGTCCGTGTACCATGTGCACAAGGTTATGTTTTTTTCACAAAGCTCAGTTCAATTCATCTTATTCACTACCTTCCCTCACTTTGAATTCAGTACAAGATGTACCGAACTTTGAGGATATTTGACCTCAACTGATATATTGTCAGACTATAGCCTTTTATTACAGTCAGACCTATCTGAACATAGCCTGTGCTGGGGGGGGGGGAGAGAGAGAGAGAGAATCCAAGCTGCTTTCCCATCCCTGCCAAAATGCCAGCGCAGTTGGTCGGCACCAGCAAGCAAAGGGTGAAGCTTTTAGGCAATGAGCAGCAGGTGATCTAAGCTTTTCTGTAAGTCCTAATGCTCCTAAAAGCCACTCTCCCTGCTTCTGTAATTGGGCATCAGTAGTTAATGTAGTATTGACTGCATTACATGCTCCTGTGCATCCTCTCCTACTAATGCCATCTGCATCACCTTGTACATTTACCATATTGCTTAGCCAATAGCTGTTAAAAGCAATCTGAATCATATGGATAACTTTTAGCAAGATGGACATCCAAAGGAGACAATTTACAGTTGAGTTAATCTGGGTACATTAGCGCAACATGGATTGAGCGAGACAGACCAATTTGTTTCTATGGCAATCCCTTTATTGGTTTTTAGATGGGTTAGTGAAAGGATGGTTGGCTCAAAGAGATATGAAATATCCATTTTCAAACATAAATATGGGTCTGAAATGCAAGCCATTACTTTAGAGGGGAAAGGGCCCCTGGCTAAAACTAAATGTGTGTGTGATGACAATAGTCTTTGAAAGACGACAAAGGCATTTTTAGGTCAAAGACACTTTGTAGGGATTTGCTTTTCTAAACGCTGTTAAAGAAACGTATCAAAGTACAAAAACGGGATTCAGCTTCAGCAAAAACTTGGAAAAAAAAAAGAAAAAAACCCAAAAAAAGTTTATAAACGGTTTCCATAGGAACCAGCGTGCAGTGTAAATACAAAGACGTGCATTGTACGTATGCCTATAAAACACAGAAATGTTACACTGCTATCAAATAGGTGATCTAAATGTTCTCGTTTAGACCTATCAGTAAAGGTTAAGCTTCCAATGCTCTCGATGCTGATAAAACATCTCCCCGTAACTTCACAGATTTGCACGAGCGCTAACTGATACTGCGGGGAATAGCGACGTAGGTTCAGCTCGGTCTACGTCTTTTAAACAGATAATAACATTTCATTCACGGGGACAGTCGGAGAAGTACGCCGTACTCCGCATGTCTCTCCCGACTAGAAGTCTTTTAGAGTAGCGTACGCGCTTTCTTCCTCATGTAAACCTGACGAACGAACGTGTCCGTCTGATGTAACAAACGAACTGGAGCATGGAAGTGCCGTTTGGGGGGAAATGAACGCTAAATGCTGCATTTCCTCTCTGTCCCGCGTTCTTCATAGTCGTAAGGAGCAAATGAATGCACTAACAATCATCCGTACACTTACCCTCTTCCTTGTCTAACACCATCGTCCTGAGGAGCGAGGAGTCCGGCTCCAGGCGATCCGCTCTCGGCTCCAGCACACTTCTGCGCGCGCCGCTCGCGTCTCTGAGAAGAAATTGCTTTGCAACAACAAAAATAATAATCGTCCGCGTTGCTGCCGCAAGGTTTAATTACACAGGCTCGTCTGTGTGGGTTTCCGCTGTTCAGAGACGGAAAGCCATGTAGAGAAACATACGTGTGTCTGTTATTCTATTGCTTAATGTTTCTCGGAGATTATACCCAGCGATGTCCCCTCAGTTGTATTCGCGTACGCAGCGCGTCAGTAATATCCACGCTTGCAATTAACGATGTCTAAAACTAAAGTGAGACGCCACGGTGCATTCCATGCGAAAATGAAACGACTACACCAACTCGAATCTAATTTAAACACCCGTTTAATTTGAGCTGCTGCGAAGATGCTATTCTCGGAGTAGAAACGTGTTCCTCCCAGTTCTCATTTGCTCCGAAACTGTAACTATATTCAAGAAATCCAATTCTGAGGCTGACAACTCCTAACAGCATGCTCACGCTGCCTTTCTCACCCAATTTATGCGCTCTGCGCGCTCCTGCTACTGAACAAATGCGCGCGCTTCCCAGAGAGCCACGGATCCCCCTGTTAATTAAATCAATTCATTATGCTCAGATCTGATTAGCAGCCCTTCCCCCCTCTTTGAATCAATTATTCAATACACAAACATAATTGCTTGTGCCAGAGGTGTAGTGAGTGAGTGAGTGAGTGAGTGAGTGAGTGAGTGAGTGAGTGAGTGAGTGAGTGAGTGAGTGAGTGAGTGAGTGAGTGAGTGAGTGAGTGAGTGAGTGTGTGTGTGTGTGTGTGAGTGAGTGAGTGAGTGAGTGTGTGAGTGTGTGAGTGAGAGTGTGAGTGTGAGTGTTTATGTGAAGTGCTCACAGGGGGATGTGTGTGTACATGTGTTCTGTGATAGTGACGTGTGTTATAATTAGAGAAAAGAGGGTTTGAGCTTTTAAAAGCGTTTTTGAATAGTTTTCATGATCTAATTTCTTCACATTCTTCATTCTCACTGTTTATAATATTTCCACTGGATACGTGAGATGATCGGCTAGAAGACTTCACTTTCCATATTCAGATAAACAGTCATTTTGAGAGCAACAACACAACAGATGGGCTGTTTTTTGATTAGCGGTGAGATAGGAGACTGCATGTGGCTCTGGTAATATAATTGTTAGCTGTTACTTTGCTGATAAAAGTGTTACTGTTTCATGGTGGGCAATTGGTGGGGTTTCACCTGCCCTGCGGAGACGCTTAACCAATGAAGTCAGAGATCCACCTGAGATTAACCATTAGGCGAGATGCAGAGAGTACAAGTGGCTCTGTTTGCTAGCAAGTGGTCTGGCATACTAGTTTTTCCTTTACTTTTATTGCACATCCCTGATCCTGTCGAGGTAGAGATGAAAATGTGCCTTGTCTAATGTCTTTGAGATCTGGATCTCCTTGAAGGTGATGAATAGACCTACAGTAAATTATGAAATCGTAAATCATATCTGCTCATAAGACATTAGGGTGAAAATCTTCTATGCCCCCTAGACATTCATTCGTAGTTTAATTTAAACTATAGGCTGTAGCAATCTTAGCAGATTGGGACATTGCCCTGCCCCTAAAATCCATTGTTTGAGCCTTTGCTCTCTGCCTCTTCTGCCTGACATGTCTGACTTTTCATTTCTGCAGTGTGATAGATGGATGACTTTTGACCACAAGTGTATGTCTGCTGACCTCTTGCAGAAGTGAATGACACCTAATTAATCCAATCACAACAAACTGAGGGAACAAGGAAAGCGTGGCCCTAGTTGTTGAATGCTGAGGTACAAAAGGCCTCCTGACAGTTAAATGACGAAACAATACCATGGCCGATCTCTTAAGTGTTTTAAAAAGAGAAGCCATATGCTGTTAAGACACTTCTTTCACAAAAAGAGAAGGATTCATCTGATTATTAGGTATGAACACATTATGTTTATATATTTTAAGGGTAATTTTTGACTGACAGATAAGCCAACATTATTAGAAAACATCAGGTTGTGATATTCCAGTTTGTTATGAAGCCTGCTAGGAATTACTTTCGCCAGTGCAGTGACATGTATCATGCTTCTCTTCTGTACTGATGGTTAGTGATGGAGCGATCCATTGTTTCTTTATTATTAGGAGGCCTAGAGTGCATCCCTTTTCTAAGGCATGTTGCATTCGGGGTCAGTTGCAACTGGAAACCGTCCTGGAGTGTGGGCCTTGTGTGCAGAGTTAATTAAAATTAATTTCTGATTGGGAATTAAGCAGGTCCATCTATTTACTGCTAGGGCTCACGTACAGCCAGTTCAAAAACACAGCACAGTAATTAACCCTACCTAATCAGATAGCATAGAGCCGAGTTGGGTTCCCATTTATCCTGGGGCAAACAATCAGTGGATGGTGGAGTCAGGGAGAGGTTGAACACGAGCCTCCCCTATATTTCATAATGGTTAAGCTGATTATAAACCAATATCAGACATGGTACTTTTCTCTAACTGCGTTCAATGGAAGGTCCTGCTAGGAGGAAAGGCTCCGAGAGGCCTGTTGTGATGATATCTGGATAAATGAGATAAATGATGCACATGATAGATGGTGCTTGCTTACATTGTCTTAAATGAATTCAAATACCAGTTGAAAGTTGTCCTTCATTTGATGGGCAGTACTCAAGATGTTTTCTTTCATGTGTGAGACTGATGCTTAATCACAGATAATTATCTTAGAATTTTAATTGGTTTCCCAGGATGTTTTTTTTTTTTGCTTTTTGAGCACATCCTCTGTGTTCTTTCATTGAGTTCAGTTCAGATCTTAATTTTGTACTGTATAATGGATGCAGTAAGATTTTAACATTAGAATGCAGTATTTTAATGTTCCACAGGACATATTAGGTTTAATCAGTGGACAATAGTTGTTTGCTTACCATTCTGACATCAGCCCCTCCTAGTGGCTGCATAATGCATGTTCACTTTTAAGTGAACCAGAAAGAGCCTTTTCAGCTCTCCTTTCGGTAACAAGAACGTATTCCATATAATCCAAGAAACTGCCTATGACCTTAGAGAGCCTTACCACTTGAATATGCTCAACTGTTTGTACGAAACAGCAATTTGCAGTCCACCTACTCATTCCAAATGGGACTAGTCAAAAATAGCTTAGGTGTCATTTGGGGGCAAAGAATCCTCTCCCCAAACATTTAATCCAACTTTAATCCCAGTCATTAAGAATTAGACATGCAGAGCTGTCCGGTCGTGCTTCTAAATTACAATCAAACGGTTACCAATTACACAAATTATTGATGGTAGATTCTCTTTTCAACTGCAAATTAAGGCTATTAAGAAAGGCTCCTTTTTAATGCAAAAGTGACTAATTAACCAACGGATGGGAAATCTGCAGCCCAGATATCAAAAAAGTGCTCGGCGCACATTGCAGAAACACAAGGGAACCAATTAGTTTAATTATCAAAACAGCTAATTAAAATTGCACAGTTCCTAATTAGTTCTTTGCTTTTGCCTCTAATTGACAGTATGGAGATAAATGGGCTGCCGATGAAAACAGAGAGAGGGAGAGAGAGAGAAAAGGGGAGAGGAGAAAAACAGGAGAAACTTCTGCAGAATATTTATGCTGACTTTATCTCCGTCTGTGTGGCAGCCCTTGAAAGTGGAAAATTAATGACCTTAATTCCCAAACTGTTTTCCCTCTAACGGCTCTCCCCTCCATGCTCCCAGTACACTCGCCTCTGTATGGGGTTTGCCACCCTGCCAACTACTGAAATTGGGGAAAAAGGAGGACTTGGGGGTGGGAAAGAGCCACCAATTCTCCTCCTAATGTGACAGCTCGCACCTAACAATAGAGCAAGATGAAAGAGTGGAGCAGATGTAACCACTGGGAGCGTTGCATCATGGGACTGCAACTTTGTCATACTTTTTTAAAGGGCTTCTGCCATCTTTTCCGAGTGATAATTTGTCCCATAAAAAGAGAAGTCTGCTGGGACACAGATAAAAGACATTTGATGGAGGAAAATGTGCTTTTATTGAATGTTCAAATGCTAGATGAATAATTGCTCTCCTTTATTTTCAGATTAATTTTCCCATGGAGTGACCCATGTGAGCGGTGCGCCTGCATTGCTGTGTTTTATAGGAAAGGCTCCCTGTCACTGGTAGCATCTCTTTAAAGGTAGTTAAAGCTAAAAAGCAATGATGGATCCCGCTACATTATATAGTTTCCCGGGCAATCTTGAATGACAGCCATTTGATTTTGAAGACAGTGATTTGAGTGAGCCAAACACACTAGTCCCATGCTCTAGTAATGCTCGGACCTGACTGGCTGTAATCCCGCCTATATGCCCTCACATGTCACAGTCGCAACAACCCCCTTCACATTAGGAGATAAGCATCTACTAATCAGTTTACTCAGGGGCCTGTGTTAAAATGTAAATTACATTAATGCTCAAATTATGCATTATGGTAGTCAGTGATGCCTGGCCCATAGCCTGCATAATGTTCCCATCATTTGGATACAATCTTTTTAGGTTTGTTGTTAATGCACACTGATTTGCCCTGGTCTGGTCAGCATCAAGTGTGATACATCAGTCGGCTAGTGTGTGGGACATCATAAGAGAGTCGCCATTTCTGAATTAGCAAGAGAGGAGCTTTTTAGAGGAGCTGCTCTAAAAGGTTAGATAATAGCATCTTGGTTTCTTTTGCCTAGCACTCACCCATGGAGAAAGACATTTCTGCTCTTTGCATTAATATTTTGGTGCAGGCGGTTGGAAAATTGCATAGGTATTAATTTACTTGTAATCCCAGTGAGTCAAAGTGGATTGCCTGAAGAGCTTTTAGGAACAACATTCGAAATGTGATTTATCTGTCCTCTTCTAGGCCATTTCGAAATTGCACCCTGAAGAGACCCTCGTGTTGCAGAAGCTCTTTCTGCCCAGAGGAACCTGCTGCCCATGACTAACAAAGACGCACGTTCTTGGCTAATTGATTGTCTTCTGTTTTATTTATGGAAAGGCGGTAATTAGTGGCCAGCATAATGTGCGCCCTTCATTAGCGCACGGGTACCACTATGGATTTTTCTGCTTTGTTTTAGATGCACACACCATTGGGAGCAAACAAAAGACGAGAATTTATTAGCACAGGTTCTTGTAGATATCCCTGAAAAGTCGGTGTGCCTTTAAGGGAGAGCGCAAGGCCTGTAAAACTTCTGTTGGCGCTTGCTCAGTGATTCCATTCGCGAGACCGAATACGTTAAGGAAAAAACGGTATAAATTTAATTTGAATTGTTTTGTACACACGCCAGTGAAAAGGAACTGATTGGACACAGTTCACAGACAGTATATTAATATGTTATTTTCATATGTTAATTGGTTTGCATAATCTTTCCCCGTGCCTGGTTTCAGAGTACCTGGCACCGAGAACGGGCCTAGAGAGAAAAAGGATGACTCCAATTTACATAAAATCAGACTCTCCGAATATTAAATAATAATGCGTCTGCAAGCCGAAGGTGTGTTCAGTTAGCAGAAAGCACATTTCTATAATTTATACGCCAGCTGTTTCAGTGCTTTTGAGTCCATTTGCCTCCCTGCCTGCATTTAATGAAATCTTGTTACTGGAGAATTGACTGGAGCTGAATTGAGATTTTAATCCCATTGACGTTGCGGCATGGAAATGCACACTGGTGGGAACTTTTAATGGAGGATCTTGTAATCAGAAGACACTAGTATTCAGATCCCTTACAATAATGAATCTCATGAAATGCTCTGGGCCGGCCCGTGCGCGAGGGCTCAAATTTCAAGGTTTTTGACCATCCCCATTTGAGACATTCCATGGGGAGTGTGTGATTACTCAAGTTTAGCAGTTTATTGCCTCATCTTTCAATAGCCACTGAAGCACAAAATTCTCATCTAGGTTACTCCTTTTTTTCTTCCTTTACTTGAAGAGCAGGCCAATATAGACGGCAGAACAGCTGGTGACATCTAAGAGAAGCACCATGTGGATTGCTATTGTGATGAACGCTTTTGTTGTCCAAATTATATTCGCATTATCATCATCAGTCTGTGTGGACATATTCTACATAATTATTATGCGGCCCTCCGAATTACTCAATTGATTAGTCATTTGCAGCATTCAGTGGTCAGATGTTCTTAACGCAAAGCTGTACATCAGATGAGTGTTCTGATATACAGCGTTGCAGGGGCGTAGATTACGCGAGGGACGTGTCCCCCCCAATTTTAATATCACGTAAATTCATCCCCCGCACTTTTTCAGGCAAGTGTGTTCGCATAGAGGTTTTCAAGAGCCAGTGTGAATAAATATAGATTTAAATTCAAAGTGACAAGCAGGGCAGGACTTATGGGGCCCGGGGCCCCTGGGCTTGAGGTTATGTTTGAGCCCCATACCTATACTACAAATGCCCTCAACTATAACATTATTATAACACAAAATACACAAAAATTCAAATATGCTTTCAGGTTCATATACTGTATACAATTAATAGACAACAAGTCTAGCCTAGTCAAAGTTTAGATGTAATATTAAATAGTCATAATACAATAAACAGGATGTGATCTCAGTTGAGAGATCAAAACCCTGAAATAACACTGAGCAGAAAAAAAACAAAGAGATGTATTATTATGAAAATGTATTGTCATATGTGTCTTTTTATGTCAGATTCTTAAATTTAATAAATTCAATTTGAATAAAAAAACATGTTGGCTATTAACAATAAAATTAAATCACTATAAACAAAATCCATAGATGGATTTTGCACAAGTTTTGTTAAGTTTAAATACATTTTAATGTAGAAATATTAAATGATTGCAAAAATGAAATAATTAGCTACTTTTTAAAAATATGAAACTACAACCGCCAGTAGGTTGCAGCAAGTGACTGTCTTAATGAGTGAGTTGAATCCATAAATCAACCGATTTGTTTAAAATGCTAATTCATTTAACTTAGCAAACGCCTGTACTTATAGCCTGTTTGAACCATTTACTGGTCCGTGTAATGCTGAGAGACAAAACACTGTGCATTGATGGGGCAAAACCGAATTTTGTGTCTGTTTATTGTTCATTTGCCATCATGCAGATATTCGGAAAAACAGGACTTGTGTGATAGGCCAACTCCTATATCGTAGGCATTCACTCATTAAATGCAGGGTTCGTTCAACCAATAAATTTCAATGACTTTTAAGGCGATATTCATGACCTAATGCTCCATTATTTTACACAAATGTTTAGATTTATCATAGCATATGCTAAAATAATGATTATTAATGCTATTTGTATGCTTTCTAATAAGCACAGGCTGCGACTGTGCCAGCCGTTACTTCATGCAGAGAACATAACTTAGGTGTCGGGTCTCGGGTCTGATCACCTGTCTCTTGTTGTCTCTGTGTTTGTGTGTTGCGCGTGGCTTGTTTTGACAGCTCGCCACGTGAGCATGTCAGCAGGATCGTTGTCCCCGCCCTCCTTGTTTCACACCTGGTTCTGGTCATCTCATTAGCTTCCCCTTATAGCTCCTCGTGTTTCTCTGTATGTTGTCAGTTTGTTGTGATTATTCCCTTGCTCTGACTGTCCGTGGATTATCGCTCACCAGTTCTGTCTTGTCTAGTCCAGGCTCCAGTGCTCGTAGCAGTCTGTTTATGTGTCCCGCACCTCTCTGTGCGTTCAGGAACCGTGGGCTACCTCCGGCATCCGCCTACCCTGGGACTCCGCGGTCTCGTTGTTGGGCTTCTCAGCCTCTCGCTCGGATTAGCGAGCTGCCCCTCCGGCTCCGTCTCCTCTGCCGCGGTTGCAGCTTGTTCCAGCCACTGCTCCCCACCCATTGGTGTGGTTGGGGTTTCCAGGACCGCATGAACTGTCCGCGAAGGCGCTTATTGCCCGCGGTGATAATCTCTGCACAATAAAGCACCTGTTGAACCCGAACCTGAATCCAGCCTCGTTGACCGTAACAGAACAAACTGACCAAGATGGATTCAGCGGGATCGGATCTGCTTCGGTCTGCTCTCGTGCAACAGGGAGTTTTGCTGGGGCAGCACGCCACCCAGCTCAACACCACAGCGCAAGAGGTGGGCGCGCTAAATGCCCGAGTCGCGGAGCTCCTCACGCGCGTCGATGATCTTCAGCGGGAGGCGGCTAACCGGGGTCCCGTCCTCCGCGCTGGTATTCTGTTGGACCCCGAGCCTCATGCCAACAATCCTCTAATAAAGCACCTGTTGAACCCGAACCTGAATCCAGCCTCGTTGACCGTAACAGAACAAACTGACCAAGATGGATTCAGCGGGATCGGATCCGCTTCGGTCTACTTCGGCAGCACGCCACCCAGCTCAACACCACAGCGCAAGAGGTGGGCGCACTAAATGCCCGAGTCGCGGAGCTCCTCACGCGCGTCAATGATCTTCAGCTGGAGGTGGCTAACCGGGGTCCCGCCTTCCGCGCTGGTATTCCGTTGGACCCCGAGCCTCATGCCAACAATCCTCCGGTGTATGATGGCGATCCGAATGCCTGCCAAGCCTTTCTCTCCCAGTGCTCGCTGGTGTTCTCACTGCAGCCTCGACGTTACGCCACAGAGGAGGCTAAGGTGGCATACATCCTCACTCTCCTCTCGGGTCGCGCCCGCGAATGGGGAATCGCCGTATGAAGATCGCGGGCTCCCTGCTG